TCCTCTGGCTCTGGCGGGTCTGGTGGTCCAGACTCATCTGATTTCCGTGATCCTCCGAATGAGTTGCCATCCTTGACTGTCAGCAACAGCACTTTCAAACACTAACTAAGTTTGTCTCGTTGAATTGTTAGTTTAGTTCTGAGTCTGACGTTTTTTCAACACGGTACTGTACTGTTGTAAAGTCAGACCAAAGGAAATTGAAATAATAAATAGGTTTTCACTTGAAGCTGAGGTTCCCGTTTAGGGGGAGGCGGGGGCAGCATAGGCATACGGCCAGACTTGGCAGTATGAGGTTGTTGAATTGGAGCAGCACCTCCAGCTACACTGCTAGCAGGGCTTGTTGGAGTTGGACTCGCCGGTGGCTGAGCAACGTCGGCCATGAAAGTCTTCACCCAAATTCCTTGCGACCCGTTGCTGATGTAGTAATCGCCAGTGTCCCTGAGACAATGTCGGCGTGTGTTTAATGGTTTAATGGAAAGATGATTTCCGCATTTCAGCAACTCAACACTCAGGGCTTTCAAAAGAATAAAGCATCCTGAATGCAACGCCAAAGCTACTCTGCTTGCTCCAATGTCCATTCACTGCCCTCTGGGCACCATTTCGAGCGCGCACCCACATAGAGAGCTTGCTTGAGACCATCAGGAGTCTTCATCAGCCTGGGTTCTGATTCCTGCTGGTCTACTTCACACTTACCTCTTTGCTTCATGATGTTCAGAATCTCAGTGATTGGTAAATTGAAGTGCTCTTCATTGCGCGTTGACCGCCGCTTGTGAAAGCCGGCCATGTTGCTGTACCACACATCGCCTGACTGTCTGTCAGAGAGAGGTTGATTATTAATATAATGGGGTGCCACTACTACTTACTAATCTTAAAGAAATCAAAATTGAATAGGCCAAAGCATGAATGCAACAAATTGTTTCGGGCAAGTTGCGAAACTTGGTGCCCAGTGGTTCATTGCCATCCAAACCCGTCACATACTCAACGACGACCAAAAGGTGCTCTTTCGAGTAACCCTTGAGCAAGGGGCTGGAACCTTCTTGGTCATTGAACTTGAACAGCAGCGCATGCAGATCGTGAAGGCCAACATCCCTGATCTTTGTCCATTTCGCTGGGAAAACGTTGCCAGCCGGCGCTTTTGCTCGGGCATCTTGATCCTTTCCACGCTGCTTGGGCACAGGCCCTCGAGATCCTGGTGTACCTCAGTCATGAATTCTTACCCATCTCATTTATAATATAGTATAGTTTAAGAATAATAACTATGATTCATAAGTCAACACTACTACTCGAATTTAAACCAGGACCTCATGATAATATGTCATAAGTATTTAACATTATCAGAATGAATCAATCAAGGAAAAATTCAAGCGTAGGCAAGTCTAAGACGCTGCCCTGCATACGTTGACGGGCTGGGGGCGGCGGAGACGCAGCCAGATTGAAGGCTCCTGGCGGCATTGCAGGTGCTACCTGAAACGGCACCATCTGACCAATGGAAGGAGGGGGTAGTGGCGGCGGATGCCCAGCCATGGACCCTACTGCTAGTACCCAAATGAGCGCGAACAACTCCTCAGCTTCAAAGCCAGAGTCCTGCAGCCTGAAAATATGAATTGAATCAGTGGACCTGTCAACTTACTTCTTGACTTGACTTGACCACACGTCTGACATGAATGAATCAATCAATGACAACAAAAAGACACTTCTGCATATGGATGCAGCGCATGCTTAAGTCACGATTTGTAACGTTAGCTAGCGGATTGAAACAACGTTTCTGCAAAAGCCAATGCCTGCAGTTGTCAGCAGTAGTCATTGGAACTGAATTGAAGTATGAATTGACAAGACCTGGATTGCATCAGTCACTGACTCTCATGATCACCAGCATGATCAATTCGGACACAGGCCAGAACCGTCAGCAGCCACATGCCAAATGCACTGACATGGTAAGCATTTCCAGCATACTTGCTTCCTCGCTGCACATCAGGAAACTCGAAGGGCACCAAGCCTACTGCACTACAAAGCTCAGGATACACTGGCCAACCCAGTATTGATAGACGTTCTCGGGGAGTAATGATGGTTTCTGATTGAGCATGCCATAGTATGCCCATTGAGCGCCGAAATGATGGAAATCGTCCTGAAGCAGTCCAACAAACTCTTGATGCTGGGTTGTCTCCGAGATGAAACACTGCGTTTGGATCATGTTTTGCCGGCCATCCAAACTTGCTTCGCCACATCTGCACGTACTGCTGCAACCGGTCTTTCTCTGACTCCAGAAGGAGGTAGCGGAAAGAATTGTAGCATGTCACGCGGTGCTCGGGCTTAGGCCGCATGCGACGAGCCTCAACTTTTGACTAATTCAAAAATTTGTGTTGCTGAACTGTTATATATATTATACATATAACACTAATAACATATTAAAATTATTCAAAAATCAAAGCAAGCTGAAACAATCCGAAAGACTGCAGCCAGATGCAACTCACATCGTCTGAGCTCTGAGGGAGTAGCCAGGAGGCAGTCAGAAACGTCAAGATGAGGCGCCTGGCCACATCTGGATGTCTTCAGCTGCCAACTCACCCGATCAATGGCATAGTGAAGATCCACTGTGACGCTGACGTGTCCTGAAATCCAAGGACGATAAACTGAAGCGAACCGCTCACTGACTTTAATTTGAACCATAATTTAATCGCAGGTTCAAAATCCAACCAATTAATAGTGTAGAAGGTTTTGACAGCATGATGCCCAGCCCGGCCTCGAAGCAGCAAACAAATGAATACCCTCATTCTTGAAATGTGTTCGCAGGCAGCGTCTGATGGCTCAATATAGAAAACCTTCATAGTGTATAGATCTCCCATGAGGGATTCCAGAATGCTGGTGTCAAATTCTGGAACATTTTCCAAAAAGACCAGTTTGGTCCGCCTTTGCCGGTGCCAGGCCAACAATCCCACTAGCAGAATAAATGTTGACCCGAAAACACCTTGTTGGGTACCAGCTGGAGACCAGTCAATGCATGGAAATCCGCTCACGTCTATCTCGCACGCTTGGAATAGGCAACAGCGCTGATGGCGGTGGCACCACAAGGTTGGATCCACTTGTGTCATCATGATGCTTTGGATCTTTCCCAGCAGAGATTGCTCACGCAGCGCCGGCAGCTGACTTGCAATCAGGGGCATATGCTGCAGAACATTGGTCCCAACGTGTTCGTCAGAATCCTCTGGGCCACAGAACGCGGTGAGGACGTCCTGGCATCCTCGGTCGCAATCCTTAGTTAGTCAAACAGTCATTGACTCAATTTGGAGTTCCTGGAGTCAATGATTGATAGTATTATTGTTACAATGTGACAATGTCTGTCATGTGAGGCTGTGCCACAGTGGTCTGTCAAACTGCCAGGTCTCAAATCAAATTTGTCTATGGGACAAGTACTACCCAACCGTTTGGTCCAGAAATTGAAATGAATGAATGCAAGGTTCCACAGAGAAGTGCTGCTTCAAGCCACTTTGTAACTCCAAATCTAAGCCACACTTGTGTATCGCAGCTGGGAGAAACCCTTGTAGAATGAGTTTCTCAGGGCCAATGCCCGAGAAATGTGAAGACACGCGGCTTCTGGACATCAATGCAGAATCCTGTCAGGATGATGTCCAAGTTAAACTTGGACACATTATTTGGTGACTGTTGAATCCAACACAGGCAACTTTAAACAATATCCACATTCAATGACAACATGTTATTCTGAGACACTGATGCCTGGATTTGTTGAAGTCCCAGCATTTCCACCAACGTTGCGAGGGTAAAAGTCGCCCATTCAAAAGTAGCTGCAAATGCGCCGCTGTTTCCACCACGACCAGGACGATGCTGGTAGTCCATTGGCAATGGGCGAAAAACCACCGGCAGACAGAAGTCTAGTAAAAGTTCATGCAATGAAATGTGCACACTGCTGCTAGCATGCGCTGTTGTTAAAATATGCAGAACTGAACCGACTGAAATCACCTTTCGGCTGGCGGCGTGAGCAATTAATAAAAGGTCCCAAGTTCAAGACACTCAGTCCCCGTCCCATCTCCCGCCTGTGGGAAGGCCATTACAGCTAGCCGCTTGGAGAGGCTCACAATGGTTACCACGTCTGCTTTCAGATTCCCGGCAATTCCAGCATCCCAAAGAACCTCCAGGCCCAGGTCAGGACGACTGGTGATAAGCCACTGGATTTATCAAACAATAATATGTATTGTATTTAATACCTCACCAAACAGTATATAAAAAAGAGAAACCAATAATTCATTTTTTAAAAGTGCATCCAGCCTGAACTCCATTCCATTCTTCTGAGTTGAGCTCACGAATTCCCAATGTCTTGTATGCACTGCAATAGGCCTTGAGATGGTCCCAGGTCAGACTATTAGAGTGAGTCAGACTATTAAGTTATTCATATAAATAATACTTTATTTACTATTAATTACTATTAGGTTGCACTACTGATTCATTGATTGATTGTCTTCTCAACCCGCCTTGTAAAATTGTTCGGCGTTGCTTGCATCATGCTGGACTGCTTCTTGAACAGATTGGAACTCCCCCTCAGGGTGTCTTTTGAGACCATTAAAAAAGAGTAACTGTCAACAAAACGCCAGTGTTGCATCTACTATTGTAAAAATTAGTTCCACTTCATGGCCTCATCGACTTTCTGGTGAACCCAATCAAAGTAGCCACTTGCAGCAAGGTCCCGCGTCCTCAACCCACTCATCCAATCTCCTGCGTCTTGCATTGGTGGCGAAGTTGACAAAGATTCTGCCAAAGTGCTCATGATGTGCAGCAATGCAGAGCGTGCACTGCGAGCTAGCACCCCACCACCCTCATTAAAGTGAAGAAGCAGCACTGCAATCAGCTCGCCAGGAGTGCAAAGCGATACCTCAGTCCCCAGGGTGATTCCAGTCCAGTGCAGTGCAGTAACTGAAATTTTAAACAATTGTTACAATCAAGCATTCAAAAGTTCCAAAGAATAAAAAGTACTTGATGGTTGCCTGGTGTACAGGATTCTGTAGAAGGGGTTCTGCTACTGGCAGGATCACACGTTGTGCTATCACGTCCTTCCACCAGTCACAAACAGCCCTGCCGGTATTTGCGCAAATATCCAGTAGCGCCTGCTTGGCTTGCGACATCTTGCCATGTACAATTGGAAGAGCACAGTTGTCCAAAGGTAGTGCAATTGTGATGTCCGGCCTTTTTGCAATGACTCGATCAACGAGGTCACGCACAGCAAGCACAGCCTTATACTTTCTCTCAACGATTGAAGAAACAGATGTTGTAGTCTCTTCAAAAAGCACGCTGGATACCATGAAGCTCAAGAGAAATGGCAAGGTTACGTGAGCGGTTTTCAAATATTGCTTGTCGTTCTCACCAACGTATACATCCCACTTTGCCCCTTGGCGTTGGCCATCTGGACCATGGTTCACCGATGGAAGCGGTGTACGAGTCCCAAAGAAAGTGTAGAATGTGTCCTGGAACGACTTCTCTTTGCTTGCCATGATGTTGTCTATTCTCCTGGGCTGCTGAATGTCAGTGGAACCAGGTAACCAATTAATTAATCTATTGAGCACGCTTTAAACTAATACTCTTTAGTTTCCCAAAAATAGACTCGACTCTGAAACTCAAAGCAAAATTGTTTACAGTCAACAGCCCAAGATCCGGTTTTTTGGATACAGGGCTTCCTTGAATGGCTTCACATCTATAAAGAGGACCTTGCGGTCGTTGAAGTCGGCAGGGATGAATGCCGATATCTCTGGGCATTGGCCAGAAGCAGGCCAAATGACTCTCCGATTAGTCGCAGAAGCGTCCATGGACCAACACACACACACAGAACGGTTGATTCATTCCCATGTTTGAGTCCAAAGTCCTAAGTGCCCAAGTGTTTTTTCTAACATCTGACCACCTTTTGCCTTTCTGAAACTGCAACATTACATGGCAGCTTTGCTGTATGACACGGTGGCTTTCAACTCAACTCCGCTCACTTTAGGAGCCATTGTGTTCCTTGGGCCTGCGGTGAAATCTAAAGTAAAAAAAGGCAAACCCACTGCACATATTGACCTCAAAAACCGCATTTTGCTACCCTACTTTCAGGATACCTGAAAGTTCCGTTGATTTGTTTCAAGGAAGTTTTCTGGTATCTCCAAACTAGGTGAGTAAAGTCAGCAGATAGCTGAGGAAGGTATATGCCAGGGATATACTAGGTATATATTATCTATTTGTCCTATGCATGGACCTAGTATAGGCCATGAACACTGAACAGCTCAACTGGAGAAGAAGAACTGAGAAGACTGTTTTCCTCATGCAGGAGTCCACGAGCAACGTTCAACTCACACTGCTTTGCAGTGTTAGCGTTTGGCCTTTTTGGCCTTGGGGCTGTGTCTCTTATGTTTATTATCTTTTTTCTTGTCTTTTTTCTTGTCTTTCTGAGCATGAATATGTCGTTTCTTCCTCCTCAAGGGTGAATCAGTCACAATGCTGTCAGCATCACTAGGGCTGTCCAGATTCATGTCAAACAACTCGTCCAGCCCTGGATTCGGATGGTCTCGCGAGCCACTGGCTGCGGCAGGTTCATCTCCTGAATCCACTGCAGCAGCATCATCTGAACCTGAAGTGTTGAAGTGACTGCACATATTAATATTACATATGTTCAGAATTAAATAAAATAAATACATTAAACAAATGAATTTGAAACAAACAACTAATGGCAATAATTGGCTAAGAAACCCTCTTCCTTGTTCTGACACGCAAATGCTTCTGCAAGCGCTGTTTCAACCCGTGCTGGATCTGGCTTTTGGCTGCAATCCTTGGATTGGACTGCTGCAAGAATTGAATTAAAATAGTATGAACTTTCATCAATATATGTATAACAAACAAAAAAATGACCAATGCACATAGCTCTGCCCAGTGTCTCTTCCCTTCTCCTCATGGTTGCGCCAAAGAAACTCTAAACAATAGTTTAGAGCAGACAGTTTGCTTCGTGCGTTGTCTTGCCCTTGGTCATCACCACTCTTCTTCCACTTCATGGATACTGACTTTGTAGGTCTCCCTGCTGGATAGTAAGCTTCAAACGATGATAAACCCACATCCATGCAAAGCACACATTGCTTCCATTGAGGTCGTAAATTCTTGATCGCCTCCGGCGTAGAGTGCTCTCGTTCGCCTCTCACTCCCACCTTCCTGGTAACCTCTGCTTTGAATTTCTCGGACATCATTGCCTTGTCCACACTGTTTCTCAGAGATTCAAAATCAGCTTTGACTTCTTCGTGAGGCATTGCATTCAGCGCCTGATCGATGATTTCGTTTGGCACAACCTCTTTGACTTTGGCCTTGCCCATCAATTCCACTAACATTTCCATTTTCTCATCAGCAGATTTTTCAGGAAAGACGTGGAGTATCAGGCTCCATAGCAATGACCTCTTGCCAATGGACTTCTCCTGAATCTTGACAATCTTGGCTTTAGTGCGGGCAACCAAGAGCTTCAAGCGTTCGTCTGTGATACCAACCAATGCTCCGTTGCAGAGCATATAGCGAAGAAGAGATTCTGGTGATTCTGTTTGCCGAAGTAGGATGCCATGATGTCGATGTCCACGCGGAAGGTCATCAGGACTGCCTCAGTCTCAATAGAATTGTACAGTTAGAGGTTTACTTACTGCAAAGCAAGTTAAATGTCATTAGTAATCGTCTGATTCAAAATTTAATTTTGACTCATTGACCATATTGTATACCAATCAATAAAACAAACTAACACATAGCTGTTGGAGAAGAAGCCCAGTGACAGAAGCTGAATGGGATGCCTGCAAACTCTTCATTTTTGTCTGTCCGCTGTAGCCCACTCAGTCCTGTGACAATCAGAGTCTGAAGATTTGCAATCGCAGAGTAGTGATCATCACAAGCCGGAGACTTCCAGTACGCAATGGAACCGTCCTGCAAATCAACCTTCTCTAATCTCCACCCCAAGCAAACATATTCTTGGAACCCAAGGCTGACAAAGCACTGATTGTCTGCTTTCCGCTGGAACAATTGCCCACGTTGCAGCAAACATGAAAGCCACATATCGCCGAGCCCAGCAAAGCAGAAATCGCGCGAGTGCTTGAGTGCCAGATATGCTGCGACTGCTCTCTCTTCAGCCTCTGTTCCGGCTGGCTTCACTTCCTCAATGACGGGCCAACTGTCATGCGAAACCAAAGTGAGTCAGGCTGAAAAAAGATCCTAAGTACAGTAAATACAAATAAATACAAATAGTTCAAAACAAATCCTGCAGAGGTAAACAAACCAGCTCTTAGATTGTTTCAAAAGTGGTTGAACTTTTTAAGCAAATTGTCATGTTGAACAAAGCCTGGCAACATCATCTGGTTGCGTGCTCGACGCATCTTGTTTGATCAACCTAATGATCTTGCTGACCAACTCTGAAGATTTTGCTGATGCTTCACGTTCTTTCCTTGGCTTGAAATCATCCACGGTGATTTTCTGAGTGTGTCCGTAGGCAGCAAGATCACCCGGCATCAACCTCAGTCTTTCACACGGCAACGAGTCCAATCGCTTTGATTCCGCTGCGCAATACATGGCCCTCGTGAGCCTCATGTCCTTGCGCCTGTTTGCACGTGAAGCATTGTTCAGCTCTTGCAAAATGTCTTCCTGGCTGTGTTTTGTGGTTGAAGGCCCGCAAAACATTCGCCAAACAAATCTCCAGATTGAGCTTCTCAGCCAATTGCACGCACGACATTTCGCAATGATGAGTCGCACCAGCTGCAAGCGTGGCCACCACAATTGGTCGAGTGCTTGCTTCAGAGCCTTGATTGAAAAGTAGTAGTCGATTCATTGACAATGGCTAGGTAATAACTATAATATATATATATATTACATTATATTATATAGCAATGGTCACAACTGACAGGAAGAAAACTATTGGTCAAAGCCTCAGCAACAACCCTATCATCATTCATCGGGTTCTCGAAAGCCTCATCTGCCTCCAAGTAAATCTTGGACATCAAAACAAACCGATCCATGCAATCTCGTGATCTGCCCTGATCTTCATCCAACAATCCACAGAGAGCCTCTGGCAAAGTGTGAGTGAAGCCTAGCATATACCAGGCCCTCTCCGCCGCAATGCTTACAGTCAATGTCCAAAATGCAGCAATGTTGGAAAGGCGGCCTTCTGGTGAAACTGCTTCTCCACTGCACTCGGTGCGACGAAGGACTGTTACGTGGTGCAGCTGGGAGAATAGTGTAGCAATTTCTGAGCGTACCCAAGCCATATTGGATCGTTCTGCTTGGTATTGAATGTTTTGGCTGCAGTCGGTGGAGCAATGTAGGGATTGCAAATGAGAAGCAAAGATTGGACTCTGCACATAGTCCACCCTCAGTCAAACAGTGACTCCAGTGACAGCGAGTCAGTCATTATGGTGGCGGTTTTTAAATTTGAATCTTAAAAAAAGTATTAATAAATAATTTGTTTGTTTGATTTCAGTTAAACATTCAAAGATAGCCCCGCCAATCTTGCTAAAACAGCCAAGACGCATTCGTCCTTTGATTTGCAAATCAAACATCTGCAGAATTACGGTTGATAGCTGCAAATTGTTCATGTTTGCAGTGTACGCAGCACGCTTGATTGCCTTGATGTCAAAATTCTCATCGTCGTCCTCCAATCCAATGTGTTTGAACACTATGAATCAGAGATTAGATCAAACGACCCGGTGTAGATGAATCTATTGACTGATTAAACTTCTGATAGTTTTTTTTGAAGACCCATGACCAGCAGCTCCTGCACAACATTGTCAACAGAGGAACGATCCTTGCCTTTCAAGTCTCCGCAAAGTTGGTTTAACTTGAGGTCAGTTGTCCAGGTGGAATCCAGGCCACCATGTGTACTCTGCCGGCTTGGGTCATTCACTGTGTCGATCGATATCTCAGACAGTTCTGAGTCAGACCCTGACAAAGTTAACCCACGAAAGCGGACAAGCCAAGAAAACCACCTTCGCTGAGTGACCTCAGAAGCCAAAGGCTCCACACAGAAAAACGGGCGCTTGACTTAACAAACACCTTTGCTTTCTCAGTGAGTGAAGTCAGTAGTGTGTAATCCAAAGAAATGAATATCATTACCAATGAATTCAAGAAGCTCGGTCTTGGGGTCTGATAGCTTGTGCTGCAGCATCCAGAAAGAGACTGTGCAATTCGCGATCGCTTGGGCGACTACGCAAGTTGAAGTCCCTGACTAAGTTGTCTGAAAATTCCAGGAATTCATAGCTATCTGGGCCGAACACTTCCTCAAAGAGCATCATCGCCTTTGCTCGTGCGTGACCAAAGCTCTCATCTTGGAATGCACCGCCGCGGTTGACATTCATAGGCGTTTTCAAGGTTGGCACAAGACCTGACTGTCGGCCGGTCGCGCATTGCATCACATGAATGAACTAACACAGAAGGCTAGCAAATAAGATTTCAGAACAATTGCAAAAAAGCAAAGCATCTGGAATCTGAAACAAGGCGAAACACTGGCAAACCCTGCTGCATTCATTCCTTTGGTGATGCAGTTGCTGTCCATGTGTAATGAGTCGCCCCGAAGTGCCCCGAGAATCTTGCTCTTGTACAAAAGCCAGTGGACGTTTTTCGTCCTGAATGAACAGTGAGAAGCAAGAGTGTGCTTTGACAGCGGCTTGATTTTTTAACGACTAAGATGATACTGATTTGCAAGGATGGAAGAAGAACTTACAAAATGAAAACACCAATTGAATCAAGAAGAAGCTCTGTGAACCTTCGCGGTCTGCAAAGAAAATAATGAAACGTTCCTTCTCCAAGTCCACATCTCTCAAAGCCGTTGGGTCCATGGCCAGCGGATCCAGATCAGAGAACTTGCTTTGGAACATGTCCAGGCTAAGGTTGAATTCTCCCAAGCAAGAATCTAGTGTCAGGAGCGCATCAATAGGAGCTCTCTTCTTTGCTTGATGTCCTCTTCGTGCCTTTTTGTTTGCTGATGCTGCTGCAGCGGAATTGGTCCGAGCTTTGGCCTGAAGGAATGGAGGAAAGAGACCCCATCTGATTGAACTCGCTGAAGTCCAATATGTTTAATGAAACAACTCTTGGTTGACTGAGCAAGATTAATAATATTCGCTAACAGACTTGTCCACTTAATATACTAATTGTTATGTTATCTATCATTGCTGCGCCGTCAGAATGCAAGCAAAGGACTACCCTCATCATGATGTCGAGCTTGTCGCTGTGTTGCAAACCCTCCCCAGCATGCTCAGTCAGCGGAAGTGAGCCCACCACCTGCCAGCTTGCAAGAGGAAGTTGGTCAGGCTACTTCAACCAGTTGAAATTTGACGACAGTGAGAACCTGTTAACTAGGGAACCGAGCGCCGTTAAATATAACTACTTTACCACCCGTCAGACAGAGTTCTCAGTACCACTGACAAAGTCCTCAGTTCCTAGACTAGAATCAGAACATCAATCAAATCAAATCCACACAATCATGAATAAACCGCTGAATACTAGCTGATTGCCGTCTTCACCCACACACACAGAGAGTTAATTGGCTGAAGATGCTCAATTTGCAAACATGATCATGACCTGAAGACTGAATCACTGAATCAATCAATGGCTGTCCAGTTCACACAAAGCGGGTAAGTAGAAGTCTGCGTTTTTTTAAAGCTTGTCATTGTCTCTGAGACTCAGGCATCGTGTCGTCGATATATAATGCTAGCTTAGCTAGAAACCGACTCCGTCAACACACTGAGTGATTCCAAAAGTCAGTCAGGCAGTGACTGAGTCTGGCCGCCGATACTCTAAGGCTGGCTAAGAGTCATTTGACTGCTCAGCAACGAGTGCAATTCAAGATGTTCATCGGCGGCACTGCCAACTGACAAATTCCATTACTCAGTCAAAATTCTGTAGCAAACTAAGACGGAGTCAGGTCAATCTAATGACATTGAGTCCATTTGTCGAATGGTGTCAGACAAATTCACAAACTGCCCCTGCTCACAACTACTGTCATTGACAGTTGGTGAGGTCAAGAACAACACCTGACGCCGATTCCAAGAGTCGGCATCTGTGCAAAAATTGCCCCGACGTGGAGAACCAGGTCCTTCAATATCTGGCCACCAAACAATAGTCTTCGGGGTCTGCAGCATTTCAGTAGCCTCGCACCTCTTTGGGTCTAACATCCCAAACGTAGAAGCTTCCGCGGGCGGCTCGCGTTCAGGCTCACTTGAACCCGCTGGAGGAGTCATGTGAATCTGACTCCGAATCTGATTCAGGCGGGTTTGCCAGCAGGAATTCTGTCCGGCCATGGGACGGCAAAGTGCCATTCGATGAAAGTTTCCGCTTCTTGTTTCCACTTTGGTGGCAGCGCCAAATGCGCATTGCTTTGTTTTCATCACTGAGGACCAGATCCATCCATCCCTGCCCCAAGCGAGGGTTTGCCACCATTGTTCCACAGGCACAATTCAAAGCAGGCAGGCGTAACTACAGAAACACTGATTCCTGGTACAAAAGTCTGATCAGGGATGATCACAGATTGAACCAAGATTGATTGATGTGTTCAGACCCTTGCCAACAGAATGAACCGCTATGACTGACTGACAGGCGTCTCCGTGAATACTACTTATTAAAATAAATATAATGGTTCCTCATCATAGTGAGGTCAAGTGATTAGCTCTTTTTGGACTCTGAGGCGCTCGTTTTTTCCTTCCTAGACTCAACAGTGACAGTGGCAATCTGTGCGGCTGATGAGAACACATGACAGTTCAATAGAAAATTACTGTGTCATACTCAGTTCAACACAATGTTTAACAGATGATGACTTGACTGACGGATGAAAAAGGGTAGTACGGTAGTAATTCAGCATACTGCCACCTGTCTGTCAAGCCTGATCATTTACATTGACAATCGAATCACCTCTTCTCAGTCGATTGGAACAAAAGGGACATCGTCCAGTCTAAATCAAATACAAACATACAGTGGAAAACATAAGTGTTTGTTGGGTATTAATTCATTCATGGTTCTAACTAAAGTGAGCCAGTTCAGCTGGACTAATGTCCGCCGGAGTCAATGACTCAGCAGCTGTGACACGGGAACTAACCAGCTGAGTTCATTGAGACAACTTTTCACAGCACAAAAACACTGACATTCACAGCACCGAGAATCACATGTTTAGTCCAGGATTGCATTGAGTCAAACACAACAAATAATGATGCAAAGTAAGTATATAGTATACCGGCTGTACAATGGCTGTGGTGTCATCACGTGTGCCTGTGAGACCCAATGATGATACTGTCACTACTGTGTGCTAGCTAGATTATCTAAACTCTCCAAATAACCAGATGATAACCCTGGTATCAGATTCACGACTTCTTGGTACTTGTCGTCGTTCTAAAACTAAAGTATTTGAAAGACTGTCCGTTTGACAAGCAACAAACTCACAACACCAACAAATGACATGTTTGCCGCACACAAGCTCATCTCCCGCTCAGACAGGGCCAGGCTGTTGGCGGAGCCAGCAGCAGCAGTGCTGCATGCAGCCAGCCTGTGCAGCAAATGAATAAGCTTGGCTTGACCTTGTCATACTGGAGTCCAAGGGATTAAGAGTTTAGAATGCCTCACAAT